AGGGAAACGCTACACTCTTCTTGTGCAATAACGGCTTTAGGGTGGGGATGCTCGAAGTAAATAATTTTGCACTGAAAGTTTGGAGCGCATGGCGAAAGGATTAATACTCATATTTCTGATTCAGACAGCTTTCATAGGACGCAACAGCGGCGGCGGGCGTGGAGACTTCCAACCTCGCTGGCACTGCTGAAGCCATCTTCACCTGGAAGGACGATGACTATTATTATTATTACTATACTTATTGCTATAATTATACTTACTATTACAATAATACTATTGGTAAACTTGGTATTAATACTATTCTTACTCCTATGTGCTTGCCACAGCAGGGAACCTTAATTGAAGGTACTAGAAAAAGGAAACCCAATTATTTACCATGGTAACTTCAGGTCCGTAACAGCGACCCAGGGAGAGTCAATGAGCATAGTCGTGGTTGCAGAAATCGCGGCCATGAACTGCTGTTACTTCATGCTGGCCAACATGCCACAGAGGTGCAAAGACATTGGCTTGAGCATGGAATGCAGCAACCCAAATTCTCAAGCTGCACTCTCTGAAATCCATTTCTGAAGGATCTCACTGGCAAGGGCTTGAAGCAAGGCGCCTGCAGCGGTTGCGCCTGCTGCGGGGCTGCCCTGAAAGGAACAAACAACGGCGGGAGTAGCTCAGTATTGTATGCTGGCAACTGCCAATGATGGCTCTGACTGAAGCTGATGACTATCTTGACGTTCGTTCATGACGGGTACGGTGGATACTAAAAATCCTNNCATGACACTAAGTACCTTATACCTTGGGAGTTACAGTATTATAGTATACTAGGGCCATGCAAGATTTTTGGTATCAAGGGGAGGTATCTGGTTGGGAGTCGATACCAGCTTTGCCGCTGAATTACGTCTCCAACCGCGGTGAAGTTGGTGGGCGCACTCCATGAGTATCAATCTAGGACAAACATTCCCCATTTGCGAGATCCCAAGGCGGACCGATTAGTCTGACAAACTCTTGAATCTGCATCCGGTTCAATATCGTACTATCCCATAAGCCTGTGTGGAACCTGCACACTCTACGTAACTGCACACGACGCAAACACTGACACGAGGGGGGGGTTTTGCAACAATGATGGGTCCCCTTATTGGGGGCCCTTATACTGCGGACAAAATCAAAGAGAGAAGGAAGGCCTAGCCCGGCAACCTTACTTGGCCGAGTTTCTGCTCGTGGTGCGCCGGAAAAGATGCCATCAGGTGGCCTGCGTGGTCGGGCACGTTGGGAGCTCCATGAACTCGGCTCCAAGCACATTAGCACTAGTAGGCCAGGGCATATAGACATCTACTCATCGGGAGAAGTTGAAGTCTATGCCAGCCACCCCTGATGTCTCGATTGAAGGCTGAAAACTGCCAATCGGGGCAGAGGGCTTGGGGCAGATCGTGTCTCGATAATCTCTGGCTCGGCAATGGGTTTGGCCCATCCAAAGTAGCACATCCTTAGAGGCAGGCTGATGAAGCGGATTTGTGGCTTCCTGACATGAGTTTCCTACGAAGGCTTAATGTGGCAAGGACGTTTCAGCAAAGCATGCCTAGCATCCTTCGCCCCAATGGGGTCACCGGCATCGAAGCAAGCTGCATGGCTTCAGATGGATCCCGCGTAAGAAGTACAATGATAGACGAACGAGAGTGGCAGCATGCATATCATCTTGGCAAGCATTGCGGATCCCGAACCTCTTCTGACTCACCAAACGGCGTTGAATTTGGAAAATGGCCGGCAGGTATCACACGCAAGCTCAAGGAAGCACAGCTTTCTGCTGTCGCGTAACTTTCTTGGTCTTCGGACATGGAGGAGCGATTTCGCAGGAAGATGTGCATAGCTATGATACCAGTAGTGAAGATTTCGTATGAGAGAATCAATTACGTGCTACCAGCATTCACATCTACTTTATCATGCGCAGTGGCGGCCTAGGCAATAAAAACAAATGCGCTGCCACCGCGGAGTTGGGAAAGCCCGCTACAAATCGAGTACGAACAAAGTCGTTCGTGATACCGCCAAGAAGCTATGTGCCCATCCCATGAGAGCGCAGAAGGCCCTATCTTCCCAAAGGCACACTCTTCCCAAACCACCAAAATCTAAACCAGGCGCCCGATGCCCGGACTACGCAGTCACTGCACAGCAGAATGGTCATATGGACAGTTGTCAACCGTACACGCAGGTGTCCGTATTGCAGATCTCTACAGTAGGAGCCATACCTTCAATCTTGTGGAAGCCATCAAATAGTCTTGTGCAAAAATTGTCACTTGGACGCCCAAATCATGACCTGAAATGGGCAACTTATAACCCTGACCCATTAACCCCCAAGCCATGCACCATGTGCAAGGCCGTAACCAGCAGGTGTCAGGCGATCGCGCCTTTGAGGGCGGCCCATGTGCCGTCATGCAAAACGCGCCTTAATCAAGTTGCACAGAAGGATTCAATGACAGAAATCTACGGGGAAGGTTAACGGACCGAATGCAAACTGGACGCCACAAGCACTCCAATTTGGGCATCCCCACCGGAGCTCCCAAAGCAGCAAGTCAACGTCCCGTTTTTGGCGCCGCGTGATACACTCGCACTCTTGACCAAACTTCGGAGCTCTTCTCGGCTCCCAAACCAGAAATTGTGGACGGATCATGGTGAGTACTTTTTTTTAGCAACGGAGGCAGTTGGTGATGTCCCTGGCCCTAATTCGGGGAGACCCCAGTTGGAGCAAAGTGCAGAGATGATGTGGCACAAACTTTCATGATTATCCAAAAGCCAGGGATCCTCCGCACAAGGGCATCAGTTCACCACGGTTCCACCATGATCCCTCACAAGCTAATCTCCAGTTCCGTTAGATTCACTTTAGAGTCACTTTAAGGTTGCGGCCCTGCACAACATACACAGAGCTGTTTGCTTGCATGAACAACTTCCATGCGAATTCTTGTTGCCAGCCTGCCCATGTTTTGACTACCGTGTCCAACTTAACAGTTGCGAAGGTTTCCGTACGTTCTTGACTGTTATTGCTGAAAAGTTGGCCATTCAGACGCTTGCTCCAACGCACTGCTCTCAATTGTATGCATCAACACGTACTGAGAGTCTTAAAAGTCGACTCATGCCACCGCTATGTGGACTACTGGCACTTGCCAGTGGCAATGACTCGCATCGGCTAGGAAACACCCCTGCGTCGCTCTCATAGGGTCAGTAGAAGACGCCTGGCAGCAGCAAGGGTAATCCAACAGACAAGGTCACATGCATGATTGCATCGAGGGGGTCAAAGATTAAGACAGAAGAGGGCCAGCTCACGATACCAATCTGAAGAACTGCTCGATGCCAATTCAAGTATGATTCCGTCCGATCCTCGCATGGCCGGTGAACAAAAACTGGCCGGAAGATTCGGCTATATTATGAATGTCAGAAGTAGCACTGTCAGGCGCATCTCACAAAAAGCTGTGAGATCCTGTGACGCCCTTTTTTCTCGGACAGGTGGTATAAGGTTGCAGGCACGCACTCAGAGGAGTCAGAAGTGCCAGTCAAACCAGCAGCTCAAGGTCCATATTACACGTCCGGTGGGATCACTTCAGACAGCTCTCTCGATCCGCTTGCTGCCTCATCGACGCCTGGAGTCATTACGAGCTCGAGGTCGCGAGTCACGGCCACGTCCGCCTCCGCCTCCTCCTCCTCCCCTGTCGTCAGTTGCGCTGGGACGCATCCGAGATGTTCGCACTGTGCATTGACGGTAGTTTGCCTGTAGGAGGGCGATCTGCGGGGCGGTGATCGATTTCGAGACCGCGACCTGAGACAACTGGAAAGATCTGGAAAGCATGCTTTGCCAGCTTCAGACTTGATGGCTTGGAGCTGCAGGGACTCAGGGTGTGACGGCGAGCGCCGACGGGAGTCAGAACCTCAGGCATAATAGGGATGTAGCAGGCAAACGTTGTGCGTCCCAAGCACCATGTTTTCAGTGTCAGTGGATGGCTTGGCCGAGCTCTAAATTTTCCTAGAGATTCCACATCCCAAACTCGAAGCCTGGCAGCCTCAGCGGCCGTTACTTTGAAACCCTTCGGCTTCCTGTGACATTTCCTAATCCACGCTCTTGATTAATAAAGCTCCTTAGACTTAAAGAAAATTCTTGCGGCCGAAATAGGGGTTCAAAGACTAGTTTAAAGGCAGAGGCACTTTTTGGGCCGTTAACCCCCTAGACGTAAAGAAAATTATCCCCGAACTCTAAAACATTCTGGGTCCAACTACATTCTATGTTCTAGAACTTAAACTTACACCTCAAACCTGTTCTGCGGTTCTAGAAAAGTAGTAGTAGCGACCTACTAGCTCTAGAGTTCAGAGAGGGCCCCGCAAACAGGATTTGCTTACTACAGTAAACTTTATTAGGAATTTCAGGGCCAAACATTGTTTCCTGAGCTACCCCTTACGGGTGCTGCTGCAGGAATTAATAGAAAAACACACCAGAATAATAGAAAATTTCCTGACCATGTTAATCAGATTTAAACTGATTTTGCTTAGATTTCTATTGATTTTAACTGGAGTCCAATCAGATTTGAGGCTGCAATACTTATGGCATTCAAGAATTTCAAGAGCAGAGAGGGCCCCGCAAACAGGATTTGCTTACTAAATTCTATTAGGAATTTCAGGGCCAAACATTGCTTCCTGAGCTACCCCTTACGGGTGCTGCTGCATGGATTAACAGAAAACCAACCCAGAATAATAGAAAATTTCCTGACCATTTTACTCAGTTTTAAATGCATTTCATGTAAAGGTATATTGATTTTAATTGGAGTCCAATCAGATTTCAGTGGATTTGAATTGGATTTATGTTGATTTTATCCGAGCCCAATCAGATATCAATGGATTTTCCTTCGATCTATACTGATTTAAATTGGAATCCAATCAGACTTCAATGGATTCTAATTACATTGATATTGATTTTACTGGGAGTTCAAGAAGATTTCAATGGATGTTTATACTGATTCTTCTTGGAGTTCAATAAGATTTCAATGGATTCTAATTGGATTTATATTGACTCTACGTGGACCCCAATCGGGTTTCCGTGAGCATTATTTACAATTGAAATCTGCTTCTGGCATCTGGGGCCTCTGAAATAGCGAGGCCCTTCTATTAATATACGGGGGGGAGCGCCGGGGCGCCCTTATTAATCAAGAGCGCGGATTAATCCACAGCCGCGGAACGCCGTGGCGGACTCCTCCCTCGGGAGTCGGAGCGGCCGCGCCGGTCCTAGCACAACATCCTTGTGTTGACTGGGGGAAGGTCCAAAATAAATGAGAGACAAGGGCTTCTGCGGCCTAACGACTGCTTTTCCAACTACTCCAGCTGCAGTTTCCAATGATTGTGGAGGGCTGGCACGGAGCATGAGCGGCGCCATGGACTTCCCTGTACCATCTTTCTGGAAGATCAGTGGAATCGACAGGGTCCTCGTCTCCGCGGAGCTTTTCCTCGTCAAGCAAAATGCTCAAATGGCTGCCCAGGCAGGACTAAATACATCCTCCTATGCAATCGCTTCCATCAGCAGCTCACGCTGCCTGAACCAACTCGTTCACGAGCCGTTCTGCTGCCTGAGATTTGGGGACCAGCTTGATGGAGGAGGTTAAATATGTCATTCTTCGTCGCAGCCCTACGCTGTCGCGCACACACACACACACACACAACTCGTCTGCACTGAAGACGTACTTCAAATCTTATGACATGCACATTACGAACACCCAAGACTCCAGATGGTTCTTCTCCTATCTGACGAACAGTTGGGCACTCTCAGGTTTCCACCATTCGACCGGTATTGCTGACTTTGGATCCTGGGCCAGTGTCCCTTGAGGTTACCAGCACATTTGTGGTTGAGCAGCCGCAGAATAGACATGAGTGGAATTCGATTCATTAACCGTAATACTCTCTCCAGTGGAAATGCCTGCTGTGGGTCTAGACTTTTGTCCGCCTCTCATTACCTTCTGTTCGACGTCCCTGCTACAGGGCTCAAGTCCAGCCTGCTTCATGGCTGAAGATGCAGAGCCGCTCATCGCCACGGCCATCCAAAGCCATAAACATGTAGGTGGATGTCCTCAGAGGATCGGATTTCCTGGGGCCTCTGGCTCCAGGCCATGACTCCATGACTCAGGTTGAAGCTACATTGCTACATGTTCTGGGTGCCCGCGCTCGTGCTCCATGCGGCGTAGCTCGGAACCACGGTTTCCAGTGACCCAGCCCTTGCCTCGCCCAGGACGTGTTGCTCAAGATTGGGGGAAGTACGAAGTACCTCTGCTTCCTGAGGACTCAGCAGTTTGCAGGGATATGCATCTCCTGAATGCGGCTTGCTGTATCACCACTGAGTGGTGCGCGTCAAGCATCCGCAAATGCGCAATCCCACCCCGCAAGTGGCCCCGCATATGGCATAGGAGAGAACTAGTGTAACCTTGAGGATTCAAGCACAGTGGCCGTGCAGTCATCCCTGTCTGTCACATCGGGGATGGTCACGGCACCTTGAGGGGAAACGGATGGAAACTGCAATCCCTTGGTGGACCTGACTTCATTGCCCTGCCTTTGAGCTGTTGTAGCAGCCAGCCAATGTATTCCTTGCAGCGGCGGCGTTCCTGGTAGTCAGTGCAAGCTCCAAATTCTCTCACTGTCTCGTCTTCAGGCCAGACTCGAGCACTACGAGCCGGATGCTACAGCAGCAAACCACCAGGCCGTCATTGTCTCATTACGGTTTGAAGGGATCCTAAAATGCTCGGAATCTTACCCCCACCATGAGAATTGTGTTCTCCACTGTCCCTTCGGAAATGTTTACTCGGATGGAGGCCATGGTCTGGAGAAGTGCAAACAGCTTAGCTTGCCTTGCCAATGCCGGCCATGAACGCGTAGCGACCCACAAACTGTAGAATACAGCCAGCAGCCTCGAACAACACAACATCTGGCCCGTCTGCTCACATTTGACTTCTCAATACCTGCGACAATGTGCACCAGCATTGGCCCCAGTGCCTTTTCAATCTTCTTCTGCGTGGCAGCTTCTTTTCCGATCACATAGCTTAGCTCATCCTCTTTGATGGCCTGAGAATGCGCACTGCCCTCCATGATCGTAAGGCGGCAAGCTAACCCTCCTTGTCTTAGTCACTGACCATGCGATCTGTGTCAAATCCTCTGCTGTCGGAGAACTTTTCCCTGCAGGGCCCAGCGAATAGCGAGGTCTACTTCGCATCATCTTGAACTAGAGTGGAGAGAGCAATTGTGCCAACTACTCGCAGAATATTGGAGGAGCACATTTTGCTGTGACGTAGACATGCAATACTTGTGTCATAGAGCTGAGAACCAACAACGGCAAACCCTCAAACCGGCCTGAGACCCCTGGAGAAATGGCCAGGTGCCTGACACCGCATTTTGTTCGTCTATGCCAAGCACAAACAATCATAGCCAGTGGTCCGAATGATCACATTGCATTCCCTTATTGCCGCGACGTGGGCCGTGCAAGCAAAAGCTCGTTGAGAAGTACCACATCAGCTCCAGTCAATGAAGCAAAGAAGAGGGATGGCAGAGAAGCGGAAGCCGCCAATTACATGTGGCAATTCACGAAGCTTGTATCCAATGTACTGAATGTGCCACTGGCTCTGTGACACCCTAATCGAGTTGGCACATGCTTAGAGAGTAGCAATCCACCTCTTTTAAACCGGCACATTTAAACCGGCCGTGTGCTCCACAATGCCACAGTCAGATGGCTTTCAAAGAAGTTTCATGAAAGCACGTGCAGGCAGCAACTTAGCCAGGGGCCTTCTTCTCAATTTCATTCATGCACTTCAGCTCAGCACCTGGAACGGTGCAAAACGATGCAAGCCAACTGGTGCGGCCAGGGTGCGGCAGCAAGGTGATCACGCTGCGTACCTCGTCGACCTCGCTCATTGCCGCAGATGATGAGCTTCTCCGCCTGCCAGGACAGAACAGCATCTTTTGCGCATCAGCCAAAGGTATGAGAGTGCCGTGCGCTTGAAGCCTCAATTCATCATGAACATGCTCTCTGGCCTCTAGTACCGTAGCAGCAGCACAGACCAACTTTTTCTTGGTACAAGCTCTGCAGGCACACTGCAATGACTCTAGATATCACTTTGGCCAGGCTTAACCTTTGACATCTCGACAACTCGGGGTACAAGCTTGAAAGAAAATATGCCACCCTCGGGCCTGCCCGGCACGTCCGCCCTTGTCTCCGTCCTGGGCAGCTGCGGGCACGAGCAACAACAAGGCACCTTGCTGACAATTCTTTAGAAGCCCTGGCGCTCAAAAAGAGCTTGCAAGCAGCAGACAGCTTTCAGTTACACTAAGGGCCGTCACGAGCTTTCAGCGAATTGAAGAGAAACATGCAGGGGTCCTTCGTCATGAAGAACATCAAGGTGCCCCACTCCTCAGCCCACAACAATGGTTACAGGCTCCGTCTGATTCAATCTCCAAAAACATGCCTGCTTCCAGGCGGCATGGGGGGCGGGCAATAAAACAAACCATCCACAATGTGTAATGCGAGACCACTGTCCATAGAGGCCCCTTGCTTTGATCACTCTCTGCAAAAACTTCTTACCAATCAGCTGAAGCGCTTCTTCCATCCGGCCCAGAGTGGCACGTCGGCTACCAGTAATGTAACCTTTCAGCAGCACGAGGGCGGTCTTCCACAGCATCTGCAAAACACTGGGTAGTGTTGTTTTGACTCGATAGCTTCTGAGCCACTGAACAGTAGCAATGTAGCCACTCAAACAAAGAGCTTCAGACATGTCAGATGACAGAATATGACCACACGTTGCGGTGCCATTCAGCATGAAGCACGGCCTCAAAAGCTTAGTACAGCCTAAATCCATAGACCCAATCCCTTGGGTCTTGCTGAGCGGCCGATGCAGTCTGAAGGAACCTCGGTCAATGCTAGATGCTAAAAGATCAGCAAACCTCACAGCAAGCAACATGAGTCACAGTTGGCTCTCTTTGCTGGCTCGGCTCAGGTCCGCACGTGAACGACACCTTGGGTGTGGAAAACAAGTGAAAGCATTAGCCTGCCACGGCCTTGAAGCATTCTTGCTGAGTGATGGTCCATGCTGGCCCTGAAACCAAACCTTGAGTCCCCCTTCCAAAAAAAAACATTAGATTCCTTGCTTCTGAAGAGTTCAAGTGGACGAGCACCTCGCATCTTGCACCATAAGTCCAGTGTCTGCCAAGGCACAGCAGTCGTCGCGATCCTCCCAACCATCCACATACACAGGGCCTTCGAGCTGGGCAAAGAGCCACCTGAGCATCAACCCTCTGAAGGAAGTTAACCTATGAGGCTTGTGCCCATTGTTCTGCAACGACCTTGCAAAAGATGACCTTTCCTCCTGCAAAGCACAAAGCAAGGAAACGCAAACATCTCACAAAGACTCAGCTCTTCCTAGAAGTACAGTAGTGCCCCAACTCCAGCTACGCGCAAAAAGTCTGCCTGTCACCTCCTGTCCTAATGAAGATCTGGGCCTCTTCAGAACCATGGGTGTAGGGTTTTAGGTTTGTCTCAGGTTCTGAATCTGGGCAAAGCTGCTTCATGTAGTCTTTTGCTCGGCGACGCTCAGCACGCGTTCCGGAAAAGAGGCAGGTGTGGCCAACGTACCTCGGGGGTACATGGCATTATGTAGAAAGCAGAAAGTCACTGGATAAGGTACACATGTAAGGCTTCTGAGCTTTGCATAGGAATCCTCATAGGAATGGTGCAAGCTTTGGACTTGACAGGCCAAAATCCAGTTGCCATCCCAGCACGATGCGTCCGCCATGTAAGCTGCATGAAAAATTGCTGATAAATCCTTATCTAGCGCGTGGAAGCGAAACAGTAACATGCGCACAGTATTAGTATGATGGATGAAGCTTGAAGGCAGGGTAGTACTTCGAACTTATATTTCCGCAGCACAGTGTGCCAAGCCCCAGCTCATGATTGCAGACCATGCCCCGCTTTAGTCCAAGCTGCTGCACGATGCATCCTGCAGCGGTGATTCAAGCATATGCGAACCATATATGAGCATGAAAGAGCAGATTGCAAGGCTGATGGTGCCAGTGCCTTTGATGCCGCATGCTGATCAGTTGCAAAGTTGAGTCCTGATGCACGCTCAAGCTTCTTGCGCGTGCCACCCTGCTTGCCCAACGCATAGGACAACTCATCGTCCTGCAGGTGCAGCAAATCAATTTTTTGTGAGTTGCTCCTTAGCGCCTTGACCCTTCCTTGTTCAGCTACTGACCGCATTTCCCTATATGCTGCCCGACCATTAGCCCTCTGAACAGGCTATGCAGTCAGCTGATTCTCCCTGAACCTCAACGGCCAACATCAGATCATCATGTTGACTCCAGACTTTGGCTCCATACTAACTGTGCCTCGCAAATTCGTGTTAATGCGAAGGCACCACAACCTATACCCTATACTTGGACAAGCCTTTGCAAGAGAGGCCGGTGCCTGGAACGTCATGGTGTCTGTTGACCACGTACCTGCCCGAGAAAAATCGAGAAAACAAATGTTTCTCGTAGTATGCATGAGAACGTGGGCTCCACGAAGCCCGTCCTTCCGGATCTTTGCCCTTGTCACGGTCTATCACCTCATGCTTGATCTTGCTGAGGTAGCCTGTTCATCACGCGCAACTGGCAAAGATGCAAAAGTGCTTGGGCATCGCTACAGCAGGAGAGGGAACTTGCAGGCTTCAACAAGTCAGAGGCCATGATGAGAACTGAATGTCTGAGGAATATGTTCACAAAGTGTGGAATCCGATCTGGCGATGCAACCCCCATTACATCCCACAACTTCGCCCTGACACCGCTATGGCCACTGTGAAAGCCGTGCGCAGCCTGGGCTCTTTGTCTCGATGGCACTTAAAACCTGCCAATGAGCAAGGAAGCAGGTTGCTGCAATGGGGCTATGTAAGGATAATGGAAAAGAAAATCGAAACTACGATGTTATAGGGTTACATAGGGGTATTGATTACTATGAGCAAGGAAGTAGGTTGCGCTGTATCCACGTCCGTTGCGCGAGTGGTGAGTAACGCATGGCATGGCATGACAGAGCGCACTACTTCGATCAGGCAGGTAAGATGAGCTATAGTCTGAACTCCTAGTATCCCACCCCAACAACCCTCATTATAGTCCCCTATATACTCCCCTATAGAACCCCCTTTAAGGAGTTTAAACCCTAAACCCTAAGCCCTATACAATCCCTATAACCCCTTTATAATACCTATATAAGCCCCTATATAACCCCCCTTTCAGGCGTTTAGACTATAGCCCAGATGAGCATCAAGAGGAATCCCTCCTTCAGCTCTGCCCCGCGGCGGCCACGGATGTCGCCGAAGATGGCCAGCTTCTCGTAGTCCTGGCCATGTGGCCATCTTCGGTTCAGGGTATAGGGGTTTAGGGTTTTGGTTGGGTACAAGGGCTTAGGGGTTGAGAGGTTTAAGGGTTTAAGGGTTTGGGTTTGGGGTTTAGGGCTTAGGGTTTGGGGTTCAGGGCTTTAGGATTGAGGGATTGGGGTTTAGGGTTTAGGGTTTGATTCATGTCTTCGTTTGCTGTGACAGGGCGTTGGGCTACAATTTTCTGGGCACTTACATATTTACATTTTACATATATACTTTCACGTGGGTACCTTTGGAGCCCTCACCAATAATTTTGCGGAGACTACCGTGTAGGGGATCCACGGAGGCACCCTTCAAGCATCCTTGTCCCTGCGGCCAGAGCCCACTTCGCAGAAGAACATGAGGGTTCCCCACCTGAGTGCAGGCATTTTGGGCAATTCCTGCTGGATCTGTCCACCGACTCTGTCCCAAACTTCTGGGGAGGCATGCCAGAGGATTCAAACTGATGATTGACTCTCCCTGCTGCCACACCACTCCTCTTCAATCGTGCGAAGGAAGTTGCCCGCCCGGCCAGTCACGAAGCCAACCTCAAGATGACTCAGGGTATTCACGCCTCGTGACTATGCAAAGCACAGCGGCACTGAATTGGGAAAGCTGACCATCTAGCCGAAACTAGGCGAGATGCCGTCTCTTGCGGGACCAAGAGCATGGTCAAGTCGTCATCATTATACCTGAGGCTAAACTTTCAGCGTGTGAGACTAGGTGCGGACGTCCACCCGGACGTGAATTCGGTCATGGGTGTTCCTATCCGCTCTCGAAAGCACTTCCATGGCGCGTGCCCAGAGTTTGACCCACCAGTCACGGACACATGAAGTCCAAGGTCGGCCGCGGCACTCTTCGGTGATGTTCACAGGCCCAGTTCTCTGCGCCATGACTCCCTCACCTCGGTATCACAAATGGCTTTCCAAAGCAGGAAAACGAGATCTACCAAATCAAGGCTTGCTCTCAGGCACACTTGCCAGCTTCTTTCCATCAAGTGGCAGTACTTCTTCGCTCGGCGGCGCTGAACCTTCGAGCCCCGGATCTCCTTGCACAAAAGCATGTGCTGCGTGCAGTGCGATCCTGCTGAACTGTGCTTGGCAGCATCGTGTGTGCTTCATGATGAAATTGATGCAGAAGCTCCAGCCATCTCCAGCCCTAATAGCACCAGAGGTCTCATGCTATGGTTGATCCCTACTTAGAGTTCCATGTTTAACGATATGCGGGGTTCGTACGTTATGTGCACAGCATAGCTCTAGGTTCTCGATAAACCTAGGCGCTGGCAATAACCCGTCTTGTTCAGATCCCTTGTCCGTTCTTGCAATGGCCCTCAAAATCATTACCAATAAACCTGCAATTTAAAAATGGTCAGTTGTTGCCAAGCTGCCAGAATCAGATCTCGCTCGAAGAGTTCGATGTCAGCGCCCGAGACGCGAGCGATCCTAAGAAGTTTGCAACTTCACGAATCCTGAGAATTACACCGGGATACAACGGGACCATATGGGGATGGCAAAGGGTTGGCTTTTTTTGGGATCTCGAGGGTTTCTTGTTGAGCCAGTAGAACGGATTGTCACAACACGCCTGGCAGTGTCACCTACTAATTTACATGGATATTGAATTGCGCTGAGCTGCTTTTCCTTGGTCTTCCCACCCTTACCAAGGATGAAGGCTGCATCGTCATCTGTGATTTTCAAGGTATCTACCTGAGCAGAAAGCCAGAGGGCACAAGAAACTGTGAACACTCTTACTAACATGAATCACTCCTCTGCTAACTGTTGATTTCTTTGGGATCGTCTTTCGTCAGCTGAGTGGCTCCATAGTCTTCTGGCTTCTTTTCTCTGCCGGCCTGGACAGGAAGCAGCATCTGCAGGTACCGCAGAGACTGTGTGTGAGGGGTTCGGCATTTCTACTCCCACATGGTGGTCGTTCACAGGGAGCAAGTGTGAAGCCCCAGCAGATGCACAAGCAGGCGGTTTGCACAAATGTTTAAATGCCTCAGCTCCTACGCAGCAAGGCGCAAGCTTTGTTCCTTCAGTCTGGCTAAACCCTTGCGTCTGTATGAGGGCTGCCCACAAAACGCTTTGCGGATGGAGGCTGCCACATCGCGGCTGAAAGCACAGAGAACAGCACGCAGCATCGGTGCGAATTCCAGCAAGGATGCAGCTGCACGGATGTGGCTTCAGACTGCCCCTCTCGTGCAATGATCTGTCTGCTCCAGGTCCCCGGGCTGCAGATCAAGTAGCATCTGAAGTTCTTCTCGTTCCGCCAACATGTGCAACGTTGCGGTATGTATAGGAACCCGTTGGCCCTTGCCTGCTTCATGAATCCAAGTGGCCGGGTTGAGATGCCATCATTCTTGAACAAAGCTTCAGAAGCCTGAGATGGCTCCTGGCAGCAGCAGAGCTGCTCGTCGCCAGCGCTGCAGACGGATGTGTGTGGCTCCAGCTTTGTGACACGGAGCTGCAGCGACGCCCTTCATGCCCTTCTTCTCGTCTGCCAGAATCAGAGGTCAAAGTTCCGCTGGTCTGCACGAGCATTCCAGTCAGTCAGCTGAGGGCTGCTTGCGCAAATGCACTGCCATCTCAACGTGCGCTGAACAAGGAAAGTGGTCAAGCAGAACCAGTCGGCAGACATCATGGGTCTTCAGCAGGACCTCCTCAGGCATCATGACAAAAACAACTTGAAACGCTGACTACTCAAAGAAGGGCTTCAATCAATCCAGTCAAGCGTCTAAGTTGGAGCGCAAGGCCTGCGGATTGCAGGAAACGTAGAGCACGTGATCGTAGCCTGCAGGTACGGCACTTTAAGCTCTGCGAGTTACTACACGTGTCAGCACCCCATGTTCCACATGCTAGGCTACTATAGGCTCCGCTGAATGCGGCCTGCCACCGCCTCCAGGGTGACTGGATCCAAGCCAGCTCGGGGTGGGTCGACGACCTGCCAAAGCATCGCCGCCGCATTTTGGCAGGGCCACGACTTGCGCAGCATGTGCGTGTTCTATCTCACTGCAAACTTTAGGCCAGCGTCCGTGCATCCGAAGCTTAGCTGAACAGGCCTCGCAGCTTGTCATTTCAAGCGAGACGGCTCTCAAGCACCATTGGACCACGGCCATCTTCAGGAAAACTGTAGTTAATTGGTCTGAGAGGCGGAGCATGCTCGCTGCGCAGCTCATAACCACGGCGACGCAACACTCGCCGGCAGAAATCCTAAGCTGCAGGAGTAGCAACAAGCTTTGCACTTGCATCACAGCCACGTGTTAACGGGCTGTATGAATGCCGGCCAGATTCTTCGGAGGGTGCTCGCATCACTGTCACGTTGCTGAGGCCATTTGCTGCCACGTTGTGCCTGTCACACACACGTTTGAAGCAGATCGCCCTCTCAAGCAGCTCTAGCAAGCACCGTCTTGCAGCCAAGCAGCTGAGCAGCACTCACAAGATGGCGATTGATCCTTCGGTCCGTGAATTAGTTTTGCGGAGGTTTCTGCTGAAGAGGTTCTCTGAGCAATTGCAGAGGTGCACCACGGAACTCTTGCTGGCAAGTTTCTCCACTGCCAGGACATGCCGGAAGAGGGGTGCCAGCACCAACGTGTGACTCCCAGCACCGCAGTACAACTCCAACAGATCCTCCAGTCATGTCTGTGACTCGGGCAATCACCCCAGCAGTCTGAGTTTGGGTTGCTGAAGCCGACAGGTGCCTCCCATACGAATTTACAGAAAGCAATCTCTCTACTGCATGTTCCATGTCAGCTGCTTCTGGCCATCTTCAGGAGAACTGCTGCTGGCGCCAAGGTTCCGTCGTGCCACCCAGCTCACGTCGAACAATGTCAGACAGCCACTCTCCAGTTGCGACTGCCTTGCAATAGGAAGGAAATGTGCTGAACACTCGCTGCTGCGGCTGAGGCAGGTAGCGGAAGGCCGAGGTACGATGTGCGGATTGGGGTTTGAAAACTGCCCAAACGGCTGGCGGTAGCCTCGAAAAGCAAGGCTGAGAATGAGAGCTACAGGCAGCAAATCTTGCAAGTATGTATTGCTAGCCTCCATCAAGCTCAGCGTTGCAAACGTTTTGGAAGACGGCAATTTCACAGTGAATCCAAGAGGCGTAGGGACCCACGACCTGGAATGTCCAACACTTCGTCCACGAAGTCTCGACCTTCCATGAGCGTTGCTTTGGGTCTCTCTTCCAGGAGAAGTACACGCCTGATAACTTCAGACTTGCTGGTCCTGCCTTCTGGGCAGCAGCGCAGTGCACCCTTCGCGGAAGCCATGACAGCCACCTGACTGGGAGGAACTCTGAGCATGTAGATATATGTGCTATATATATAATATGCTCAACAATCACAGTACAAACCCTGAAAACCCTAAAACCCTCAAACCCTAAAACTCTAAACCCTAAAACCCTAAAACCCTAAACCAGTGGGGTTCAGTTTGGCCTCAGCCGGTGCCCCGGCAGAAGCGAGCGCCTCAGCCAAACCTCGGCTGCGCTCGGCAGTTGACGAAGTGCATTCAGGCCGCAACCAGCTGACAAGACGTGTGGGGGTTCCCCAAAATTAGGGGTACCACTAAAAGGTTGATATAGGTTATACAGTGGCTATATAAGGGCAATATAGGGATAATGGACAAGAAAATGGAAACTGCTAATTGGGCCATAGTCTAAACTTCCAGCATCCCTCTTAGTAACCTATATTATAGGGTTGAGGGTGTAGGGTTTAGGGTCTAGACTATAGTATATCATAGTATATCATGGTGTATTATAGTATATTATAATATATTATAATATATTA